AACTTGGGTCCCAAAATTACAGTTTCTATCTGGTTGACCAGAATAATTATCGAAGTCTAGTCTATTGCTTGAACTTGAATTAATATTTATATGATTATCATTATTTACATTGCAATCGCCGAGAAGAAGTCGTTCACGGTTATATATTTATGCACTTTATGCGAAATAGAGATTCATCAATTTGTACCATTTCGTCAATACCTCTCATTTGGGAAACATCATTTAAGTTCGCTTGATAAATCTAAATATGTAGTATCTGTAGTTAATTAAGTTTTAATGAATATGAGGATTTTTATCTGGCGCAAAAAATCAGTCCAGTCAACCATTGTCACCTCTGTTACTTGAACTCAGGTAGCAACGACTATTGATGGACTTGATAAACACCATAACCATGTTATTTCTAGTATCATTAATATGTCGAGTTTTGAATTCGGACGACTGTGAACATCAGTATAGGAGAAAATGTATCTTTTCGAATACGTAACTGGTTAACACAGAACCTATTGATACACCACATAATTGGATACGGCTTAGTAATAAAATCTTTTAATTTTTTTTTTCTCGATACATTGTTCATTAAGGAACCACAGTGACATGTATATTGTTCAGCGTTTTGGGCTAAATTATGTTCACTCGTGAAATCTGTATAAATAATTGCGCAGTAAAGATAACAAGTTGAATATGATGAATACGTAAGGTTGTGTATATGAAAGAATTTATGTAATTGTCATTAAACTCGTATCTGAAGACAAATATGACATGTATGTAGCTAATTGAGTTATCAGATTACTTGAGTTAAGTGATGAAGTAAAACCGAACCATGCGTGTATTACATGATGTCAATGTTATCTATATCATGAGTGTCATTCGGAAGCTATTGCGACTTTGTAGATTTACGGCAATAAAAGAAAAAAGGTGTAGATCTTGTCTTCACTTATACCCACACTCTTATTCATGATGGGTATCGCAATAATCTCAAATGGCTCCCTTAAGAAGTGTTTCGTAATCATTAAAAATCGAACGAGTACAAGCTGTTAGCTTAGAAGTAACCATGCTTAGCTGTTGCCTCTGACGCTACAGGACAAAAATGATTTTAAAATGGTAGATGGGAAATTTGAAGGAGTGGATTGCGGTCAAATATTGAAATTTGAGTAATAGCAAACTAAAATAGTTCACAGCTGATCGTGAGTAGGCGGGATAACTCTCAAGCCATATATGATGTGTTCAACCAAAATTATTAATGCAGGAAAATCACTGAACTTTCTCTTTTATTGACATAAAGTATTCACCCTCAGAATAAGAGTTGAATCGATTAAGGATTTATGCTAGGACCGAAGGTTCTGGTTCAATGGATATCGTGGCGGAAATTTATGAAACTATGCGAAATAATGGAAGAATACGACTAGAAATAAGTTGGATCTTTTATTTTGGTAGATAGGAACATAGCAAAACAGAAAGATACGTTCGTCTGAAGCGTCGGTGATAAAATATCTATTGCGAAAAGGCAAACGATTGGTAAAGCTCCTGTGACGCACATCAGGATCATTTCACACGACATTGAAAGTGACGATAAATATAATTTGCTTTATTGAAATTATATTTTAAACTAAATTCAGTCTTTTCTGCGAAAAATGTTGTTTTGTATTCAAGCTGCCGTTCTATTCCCTTCAATCACCATTCACTCAAACTACAGATAAACATGATGTTGCGTTTGGTTGACCCTTCATCTTTTTTATGGAATGAAGCAAAATATCACGTAAAAATTTGAATCCCTAACTCTTACAAACAAATTGTATGGCTCCGCTATCACATTGTATTCAACAAATCAGTAGTCAAACCTATGGCAGACAACATTTGACTGTTTGTCGAGTCTATTCGCTGAATACTTCCTAAAGGAAACCAATGCGTACATTTATTTGTTATACTTTTTGGTCAACAACACAAACATATTACTATAATTTATGAGCATAAATAATTTAAGGAGTGGTTTATATAATAGCAAACAATATCAAGTAAATTTAAATCAGGATAATTTGATTTGTTGATGACTATGAATTTTACCTCTATCAGAGCCCAAACACGACAAACCTTCATTCCTCCGTCAGTCTTTGAATATCTAAAACTTGAGTGTACGTGTTGGTGGATATTGCACTGGCATTGAGTTTTGCGTCTAGGTGCAGGTGGAGAGAAGACCAACACCTTCACGCACACCCATACCCTCATCTTCAGCTGAAATAGTTGGAGTAATCCGAAAAAGCTCAGATTAATTTGTATTTGATGAGCAAAATGGATGTAGGTATGAATGTTGACCAAAAGAGCATACACCCTCAAACCCGCATCCATAACCACATCTATATCGATAACAAAACAGAAACTATTGTAACACAACTAGATTAAATTCGCTGTCATATTGGCTTTGAGTTTCTAGATGATATATCTATATAACAAGCTAGGCGTTAAACACGGTAAGCCACAAACTTGTTGAAGAAGAATGCCATCAATGTTTATATATGAAACTCGTGGGCTAAGAACATCGTTTCCATAATTTTTCATGTGCCTTGAGTGCATAAAAAGAACAACTCGCTGCTGACTGTCATGACTCAGGATCATAGATAAGTAGTGCATACGAGGGAAAGCGAATTTGTTGGGGTGTAGGCTGTGGATATTTTGTACGCATGCTCTGCACTCATCCCCACATACTATCTCTCATAACTTAGCCATGGTATGATTTAAAGACCTAAAATTTTGAATAACAATGGAATGTTTCGAGAAGAATAAGATATAAATAAATTTTCTAACTCGGTGGACAGAAACAGAAGTTATTAGACGAATACAGCAAAAATCTCAAATGTACCAAAAAATTTACAATTCACTCGTCTGCATTCTATATTGAAACTGATGGTTGTTCAAATATCGCCTATTATACATTTCTAAACGACGAGAAGTAATAATATAACAAAGCATAATTTTCTCATATTTTACCGTAGGCAGCTTCTTTTTTCGTATTATATAATAAAAATGTGCTTCATCTTTATCGCAATCGCATAACAGAATAAAGAAAAACTAATGTATTGCTTCACCTTGGCTGATGAGTCATGAATCATTTGTATGTAACATCATCGATACACCAGATGACTTCACCTCCAACATCGCATTTTGTATCTGTCCGTGGTATTCGTATTCATTATAATCTTATTATTCCTAATAATAGAACAGGTTCTGAAAATAATGGTACTATTGTTTTTATACATGGCTTTCTTTGTAGTACATTTACTTGGAATAAATGTCTACAACCATTAGCTGATTTAACTGGTTATCAAGTTTTAGCATATGATCGTTTGGGATTTGGTTTAACTGAACGAATACTCAATGGTGAACTTTATACTCGAAAAAATGAAGAATTAATTGCACTTGAACTACTCAATCAATTGAATATATCCAATAATATTCATCTTGTTTCGAGCTCATCTGGAGCTGTTGTTGCTTTTGATATGGCTATAGCTCGACCTGATCTTATTCAATCAATTATTTTTGTTGCTCCTTATGGTCTTGTTACTTTTCAACATTCAGCAGGACCTATTAGTCGATTTTTTCTTGGTACTAAACCAATTCAATATCTAATTAAATTTGGTTTCACACATTTTCTTCCATTTAAAAATGCTTATTATAATGAAGATATTGCAAAAGATGACATAACTCGTGAAGGTTATCTTAAACCTATTCGTGATGATCCATTTTTTATAAAAAGTTTCGTTCTTTTTACACAAAATTACGATGTATCACCATCAAATACACTATGGAATAAACTTGATAACAAACTAAAAATTTTGATTATTATTGGTGAACAAGATAAAATAGTATCAAAAGAAGATATTCAAGAATTCTATAATATTTTAAAACAAAACCGTCCATCCGAAAGTATAACGGAATATGCCATTATTTCACAATGTGGCCATTTACCACAAGAAGAACAAGCTGATAAATTGATAACATTAATTAATCAGTTCATCAGATGTTAATCAACACCTTGAGCTAATAAAATTGTTTCTTTTTTCAATGGACTATAAAAAGCATCATACAAATGTGAATAAATAACTAGAAAATAAAAAAAAAACAAAACAAAAGTCAAATCATTTAAATAAAAGACTCTATTGAATAAAAGGAAAACCCTCCATTTGAAATGCTATGAATATCATTTCTACACTAAACATAGTGCATCGAATGGTATATAAGTTGCATTTTCATTAGATTTGAATGTTCTGAAAAGATATATACCAGTTAACAGATACTATAGCAATGGTGGGTAATATGAATGAATATTATGATTCAGTCTATCCCTAAATCAATCTGCAGAAAATTTTTTTTTAAGTTAATTCAATAGAGTTTTGGTTAATCTTCAATCATGTAACTCTAATGATGTCCACAATCGATTTATTAATATTCAAAACCTTATCACTTTTAGTAGCTTTTGTAACTTTTGGCTTTTATGAATGTTTGAAATTCTTCGATACTGTTCGTGAGCGCAAAAGCGACTAACTGTGCAACTTTCTCAGAAATGATGTGTCATCAAGCTCTATGTGTAATCTAATTGATTGTCCTCTGAACATAAGTAAGTCATAGTCAGATCGACTAGTCGATACCTAAAAAATGTAAAAAATGTTCGAGATCTAAGAACTGTAAAGTATACCAGTTTTATGGTAAATACTATTTGACTGAAAAGTCTGTATCTATAAATGATAAGATTATCATATCCTATTATGGGATATATGTAGATCCTTCGAAAATGGTATAAAAACTTCTGAAAAAATGGCATGGTTAATTGCCCTTTCGCTCGAGAGTAACATCAAAGAATTTAAAACATGTATAAAAGTCAACCAAAATTTTCTACAGATTGATGTGGAAATATACTAAATCATAAAATTCAGTCATATTACCCACAATTACTATAATATACTGTAGTTGAGATACGACTGCTCAAAACATCGGAACTTAAAGGGTGATCATCTTGTCCAATAAGATTCTTTTGCCAAAAAAAAGCAATCATTACTTAAATCTCCTTTATTCAATGTAACAGATTTTAATATGGAACATATCGTTTCACATGGATGTTTTGGTCGAAGTTCAATTAAACTTGAACCTTGAATTTGTGCTAACCAAACCCAATCATAATTCAAAGGAATCTAATCATTGAAAAAGAAAAGAATACGACTTAGCAAAAATATAAATCATCTACATTTTATTTACTCTATGTAAATAATCCGTCCCTTTATGAAAACCAGCTGACACTAAAAACCAATTTCCCATTAATGTTTGTGTAACAGATGGTGGTAAAAAATAAGGTTTATTATAATATGATCGAATAACTTTCAATGTTTCTCGTTTACAATTATTCCTAAATTTGATTGAGAAGATAAAATTCGTGCAACAAAATATTTCTATTTACCATTGGCCAATAAATGAACGCCGTTTACCATTAATATAATCATTAAAAAGTCGATCAGCACCTTCCGCTTGATTATAATTACGAATATTTGTTTCAAAATAACAGAGATCATTTTCAGCAAGAACAGGATCTTCAATAAAAAGCTATATGAATTCAAAATAAAAAAGAAAACAATGACTTTATTAAATCTCAATAAAAAACAGCAAACTTGAAATAATTTTTTTAGTGTTAATTCTTTCATTGCTGGCCAGCTGTCTGTTGCATCATCAATAATAACAGGTAAATGATTAAGATATATACTTTTGGTAAAATTAAAAAAAGTTATATTCGATTGTTTGATTATTTCCGTTGTATTAACACATTTCTAAATAAAATAATTTCTTTTTTCTTGAGTAAAAGTTTAAAATTATATTCCGAAAACAGTCGATTAAATTGATGAGAAAGAAATCGTAAATCGATAAAAAAAGAAATGCTTCTTAAAATAATATATACAATAGATATTGGGTTTTACAAGATAAATTATGCAGATATTTGATATGAATATATCAAAACTATAATGCTAAACAATTATTTGATTTTGTTTTACTAATAAGACTTCATGTCAAAGTGAGTTGAGAAAATATAATGAGAATACTAAGATGAATTTTGACTTAATGAAATCGTCTGATGCATATTTCATCACCGATCTAGTCTTGGACATAAACAACAAGCTTTCGATTTGCAAAGAAAACTTTCATATTCAATCTTTTTACAAAAAAAAACATGTAAAATTTTTTTTTTAAACCCAGATCAGTTTGAAAAAAACCCTCTACGGGACCGAAGTGGTAGTGTAACGTCACCGATAACGACGTTTGTATCAATGCATCACATATTGTCTTTTTTCTCACCAATCAGAAGATATTGTTTGTTGGTTTTTACCTGTTCTTTTATACGTGTATATCTATTGTATATATAAATTTGCCTTTTCTTGGCTCATGTACGGGATTTTTCATGTTGCATCATACTATATATATATATACACATACTCTGCTGTTGGAGTTCTCGTGCTCTCTTGTTCTTCTTATATTCTTCTCTACCTTTACAAATCTATTGCTATTAATGAAACTGAATTCGTGCTCACAAAACTTATACAAATGAACATTGATAATGATTAGTTACATCATCGGTGAGTACGAAAAGAATATTTTACATTTTACAACCATTCGAAGCAAAATTTGTTAATCTTTTTGATTGTGTATCTTGTAAGAAAACTGTACGATGAATACTCTCATTTCTTGTATAGAAAATTGTAAGATAACCTCAATTTGATACTTTTTTTTTGATTTGAATTATAAATTAGAGAAGAATTTCTCATGTATTTATTTACATTGCATTCCGATACGTCCAATGAATTATTAAAAAATGGATTGGCAATAAAACATAAGTTTGTATAAATCTTCGTCCAATTCCAATATGGAAGAATCTTGAAAATAAATTTATTATTAGATTAGTTTAAGGAATATGTTTCTGTTTTTCTTTCTTACTTTAATAAGTATTAATCGAACAAATGACAAGAATACAAAATAGATATTATAAGTTAATTGTTCATTTAATAAAATAAAATACATAGATATCAATGTTAATATAAGAAAACCAATAATAAACCATTTTTTTTTCGAAGTTTTTCTCTTTTTTTTTAATCGATCAAAATGTTTCATTGAAAATGATGAAACTTTTTCTTTTTCAATTAGTTCAAGTAACTCTTTAAATTGATCATCAATATTATTTAAAACATCCATTTTTCCTTCGTTGTTGGAATTCATTTTGATTTTTAAACTAAAAGACAACAAAATTAACATAAACCCAATGGCTTTCACAAAAACAAGTTTTTCTGTAATATTTATTTGTGATACAAATGCTATATATATATATGAGTACAACGAATATACAATAATAATACTAGTCCCAAGACAAACAAAAAATAATTCTAATAACATTCAAAAATTAAAATAAAGACACCAGAGAAAGATAAAGAAAACGAGAGCATTGCTTGGAATTAAGTGAGTTTGTAGAACAATAAATTCAAACAAGATAAATCAAATATCCATTGAAAATTGATCATCGCCTAAATATATATGTATATATTTATCTATGTGTATTAAAACAAAAACATACTGTTTGTTTTACCTTTTCTATCCGATGTAGATTGTTTTTGTTCAGATAAATTCATATTTAAATTTATCATTGTTTCAGCAGTATCATTTGTGTTTATACCATTATCAACACTAGTACGATTGCTATATGGTTCGGGAATCAAAGTAACTAAATAAATAAATAAAAATAACACTTGTTTTATTGTAAAATAACTAAATTACTGTATCTATAGCATCCTTGAATGACGTAGAATAGATACATAATAGATAACAAAGAATAAAAAACATTAAGATATGTTATCTCAGATGAATGTGTCAATAAAAAAGCCTGTTTTGCTGTCTTAGAAAAATCTTAATATAAGAACCCTTTTGATAATTAAAAAAACGAGGTTCTACATTAATAAAGAACAATTTCAGTGTAATCAGTATGTGTAGAAATAGACCAAATTGTATGGAAATAGCTGATCATAATCCTGATTTCGATACATTTAAAAATGAAGCATTTCAAAATTCGATTCGTATAGTTTTTCAAGACATTACTCTACAAATTTAATCAGTAATCAAATCTGTTTCATATGAAAAACAAATTATTTCCTGAACGAATAATCATTATTTATTTGTTAAAATTTCGATGGATCATGAAACAGTTTTTTTTGTGTACCAACATATTTGGTTCGAGTTCTGCATTTAAATAATCATGATTGACTTAGGATTTTTTACTATTTATATTATCGGATAAGCTTTCTGTAAAATACTTTCAACAAATAATAAGAATTCAAAAAATGAAACTTTGTATAATTGTCATTGTCATTTATGACTTGAATAAACATCATCTTTAAATTCATAAATTTATCCATTGAAACTTATGTAAAATTGTATTGTTTGTTCTGTACAATTATGCAGTAAGCGATCACGACTTTTCTCGTATGTAAATCAATCTTTCATTCAGATAAAAATTACTGTTTGAAACTATATATATTGAAATTGAAAATTCATAAACACACACAAATCAAACTATGACTACGATAAAAGAATGAATAAGACTTACGAGGGAGCATTCTCAACTGTTACATCACTTTTAAATCGAACGTATGCGCATTATGTAGACCCTAACGATCTATGAATTCTCTGAAAAAAGGTCGTGCCGCTAGCTTATTACTGCCGAGATATTGCATTTTTACTGTATGTTTAAAAAAAAATAGCCGTGGTCCCCCTCAAGAACACTGAGAAAACTGAATTTCGAATTTCGATTTGAAACTTTGCACAAATATAAGTCTCAATGAGAATACTTTATTGTGAAAGTTTCAGCTCTTTTCGTTGTTCCTATCCTAATTTACAGCTATGGTAAAATTGTTCATATACACGAGCAGATCCGATGTTCTTATTTCAGACTAGGAACAACCAAAAGATCTGAAACCTTCACAATAAATTATTCTCATTGAGGCCTGTCTACAGACCAAGTTTCAGATGGAAACTCAAAACTCAATTTTTCTAGTGTTCCTGAGGGGGACCACGACTTTTTCTTAAACATACAGCAAAAATGCTATATCTCAGCAGTAAGAAGCTAGCGGCACAAACTTTTTCAAAGAATTCATAGATCATTAGGGCCTACACGATGCCCATACGTTTGACTCAGAAGCAATATGACAGTTGGGGATGTTCCCTCGTTAGAAGTGTGAAATTTCACACATAACTAAAAACACATATTGAAGTGTCATAAAAGCATTGGGATGTTTTCCGTCCGAAGTTTTATGGGAGTTAAGTAAAAAAACAAATTGTTGACATATTTCAATCATTAGCAAATACACTATTGAGGTCTTATTACAGAATTTAATACAAAAAATAAATTTACAAACCTTCCGGAATGTAAGAGAAATTCAAGGGTAGTGATCGTGTCATAGGTGATTCACGACGAGATAGAAGAAATGTTCGATCATAATATATACGAGTACCTAATTAATGGAAATTCTATTTTCTATAATTTTAATAACAGCAAAATCTCACCGTCTGGTGTTGTTGAGTAGATATTACCCCTTGGTGTTTCTTCATTATGTAGTGTCATATCTTTTGAATAATTAACACCATAGTTACAAATGGAAATTTCCTCGCTATTGCTCATCGGTTGTTTTTTCTTTCTTTCTATGAAAAAAAAAATATCTACACAATCAAAATCGCATGTTAAGTAGAGATAAGGAGCAAAAGTAGATTGCTGGGGTTTTTAAAAGATAAATATAACCCCTAAAGAATACGTGTATATATCGTCATCTTATAATGCTATTGGTCAAAATATTATCCCAATAAAAAGTTATTTTCTAGAGCTCGCTCATCAACTGTAGATATCAATATTAAAATATTTATATGTTGTTGTATTTTATAAATTGGAAGAAAATATTTTTTGAAAAGTGTCAATTAATTTACATTGAATATAGATATATGTGAAATTTTTCATGAAATATATTTATCAGCACGTAAGATAATGGCAAGAATTAAAGACAATCGACAATATATATGAAATTTAAGAATTACTTATTCACATGCTGCGATAATAGTTTTTCTACATCCGATAATTTCTTTTTTTGATGACGAAGCACTATTAAAATTCTTGTTGTCTTTTTATATCGTACTGGTAAGCATGATTGAATCAACGAATATTCAAGAGGATACATTAGATTTTGCTTATTAAGGCATTTAAAGTCAGAATGAACGTCTCCCTCAAGTATTCAAATATTATCTTTGTTAGTGATTAATTTTTATTGAATGCTTTTGTTTTTTTTTCAATACATATTGTTGATCTACTTTAGTTTCATCTATTAAAATATTCAACATTGAATTAATGTCTAAAGTATATATTCAACAAAACTAATGAGTTTCAAATAAGACTAAATGGGAAAAATGCGTGAGCATATGCATATTTTTATGTGTTTATTTTTTCTTCATGTTTGTGCCGTTTTACTTCTATCTAGAGATTATATTCCGTTAAGTGCTAGACAAAGTACGTGATGGTATCTGCATATTCATATAGATTTTTTTCCATATGTAGATAAGAAAATTTTTTTGGAATTAGTAAGATCAATTCGGCACACTGTTTGATGCTATTTATCAATTTTTACAAATTTTATGTTACAAAATATTGATAGAAAAATCGAAAAGAAACAAGATCTTTCTTTATTGACAGCTATGATTATATTAATATTCAATTATTTTTATAGTTTAGTGTTTTTTTATTTAATAAAAAACATAAATATAATAGTATTTTTAAATGTGAGAAAACAAATTTTTTCTTTTTTCAGATCATTGTCTTATTTTTTAAAATTAGTGTCAATATGATTGACGATCAGAATTTAACTATGTACAAATTCATTGAAAGAGCGAAGTTATATTCATATTAGCTGAGTTCGTGGTTCCAGTCGAACTGTTAATTGTTTTGGTGCAATTGTAACAAGTTCAACAAGTTCTAAATTTTCATTTGCCAAACTTGATGGTACTATTGTATACTTCTGTAATAGACGTATTATTGCAATTTTAATTTCAGCAAGTGCAAATTTCATTCCTACACAATTACGTGGTCCAGCACCAAAAGCAACCCATGCTAATGGATGTCGTTTAGTTGCAAATCTTTCTGGATAAAATATTTTTGTATCTACTGGTCCCCATAATTCATTATTATAATGTAAACTATACATATCAAGTGTAAATTTAGTACCCGGTGAAATAGAACCTAATCCAGGTAAATTAATTTCTTCTGAACATTGTCGATTAATAATAATTGGTGTTATTGGATACATACGTAATGTTTCTCGAATAAACCAATCAAGATATTCCATTTTATTTAAAACATCATAATTCAGAATAGTATCATTCGATACATATGAATCAATATGATTTTGTAATTTCTTTTGTTCTTCAAGATGTGTAGCTAAAATATGAGTAACATATGCAAGTGCCGTACTAGCAGTTTCATAACCAGCAATCATAAATAAATAAATATTTTGTTTTACTTCATTTAATGTTAATAAACGTGTATTGGAATTTTCCTACGAAAAAAAAAACAAGAAATTAGAATCAATGTTTATTTCATATCAATAAAACTTACTTGATTAGTATTATTTATATTTCTTTCTGTTGCATCGAGCATTAAATGCAATAAATCAGTTTGATCAGAATTTTCTGGTCCTTTTTCAATGAAATGTTTAACATTTTCTTTAAGCCATTCACTTGGATCATCAGCAATTAATCTATCACCCATAGGTAAAAATTCACGTAATTTAGCTTTTATATTATTAAACCAACAATGAATAAATAACCAACATGGTTGTAATTCAGGTATAAATATTCCTAATAATGTTGTTAAATAAGTACTATTTTCTCTAGCAAATACTTGTTGAGAGCGTATTAAAAATGGATTATTTGGATTATTTTGCATATCTGTTTTAATACCAAAACAACATCTCCATATGAGATCCATTGTTAAAGATTTATATAATTTATAAATATCAAAACCTGCTGCTTCCGTTTTCATACGTTCTTCTAGTTTAGTCATTAAATTTGTAACACAATCATTAATGATTGGTAACATTCGTTGTATTTTAAGACGTGAAAATGTTGGATTTATTATACGTCTTTGTCGACGCCATTCATCACCAGTAGCACTAAACAAATGAACACCTTTTGTTGTTGAACGTTCTTCTAATGGAAATTGTCGACGTGAATGAAATTTTGAAAAACATGTTCGAAATATTTTATCTAATATATCTGGTTCTGATACTACTAGAACTGGTGTATGACCTTCAAAATAACCATAAATACGACCAAATTGTTTTGTCCAATTTTGAATTGATATCGATATACGTTTTGTACGAGCAAAATCTTCTACATTACCTAAGAAAAATCTTGGATGTGGTCCACCAATACCTCGACATTTAAAAAATGAATAGCATTGATAGATATAAACCAAATAAAGTGCCAATATAATTGTTATTAAAATCAATGTGACAATCATTGGTAGTTTACTTATTTTCTTGTATACTTAAAACTATATTGAATACCTATTAGTTCGACTTTTCTTTTGATTTGAGAAATATGAATAGAAAAGACGTTTATATAGGAGAACAAAGTTCTGCAATAATATGTGTGCCTGTTGAAACTATGTATGTAATCTGAAAATTTCACACTTAAATGATGAATAAGAAGGTATTTACCAATATGTCTGGTCTATAAAGAACACTTTTTCTCTGTCTAAGTGCAAAAACGAACAAAGGTCATCATGTAACCTCAAATTTTTTGTAAAAAAAAACATGCAGCAAACATTTTCTCTGTCCTTCCCATTCTGTCCCACAGGTGTTTATCCAATGAATAAAAGAAAAGAAAATATTTTAAGTAGAAAAAATCCATCTAAATCCATCCACGCTTACTTCCGTTAGTGTCATATATGTTTACGTATATCACATGCAATGACACATGGAAAGAAAAATGTCGTCATGTTATGATTCAATATTTCACATGAATATGAATAATAATTTATTTTTAGTTATTCTCATGATTTGACAAAAATACAATCAAATATAAATAATTATTTTTTTCGTGCATGCTTCTCATTTATTCTTGAGTGAATCATTAATGACTTCTATATAAGCTGTATTTATTTAATATATGATAATTTTAGCTATTTTTTTTTCGACAGAGATAACATCGATTAAATTTAAAAATGGCATGATTAATCATACTCTTTATCTCTGTGGCATATATGGCTTCGTTTTTTTTACTTTTGACATATATGAGGTATTTGGACTCAAATTCATAGACAATACATACATTATTTCAACAGAGAGAGAGAACAATAAAACATATTACATTGTGTACGTGTCACAACAAACCAAGGAACCTTTATTGCGTTTTTTATTCTTTAAAGAACAACGAGCATGTCAACAAAAATCCACGTCAGTTTCTCTTTATTTTCATCTATTTCGCTTGTCACTACAGTCACATTAACATTTACATATGAAATTTGTACTATGATTATTAATCTTTTTTTTTATGTCAATATTATTGATACCGTCTGAGTACTTCATATCTTAGTTGATGTAGGAGGCATGACAAATTATAAGGCGTATGTGTGTATATATATATATCAAATAGAAATTTATATTCTGAGATTAAAAAAAAAAGAAAAAGAAAAATAACTACATGACATGACAGTTTTTGCCATGTTGTTGAAGTCGACGTCTAGCTTGTTGTGCAGCTTGTTTAGCAACGGTATCTTCAACTGTTTCTAACATGCGACAAACTTCTTTAAATACTAAAACTATATGCCAATGATATTTTGCTGAACATAATATTGTATTAGCTTTAAAATTTTTCTTAACATATTGTTGTATATCCCGTGAATTTGTTATTGTTATATTTGCAAAACGTAAATCAGTTGAAATAAAATCAACTTTATTTGCCACAACAATTACAGGTAAATGACTTGTAGATTGTTCATCATCACCATTAATAATATCAGCTAGATTTTCTGTTTGTTGTTGAGAATAAAAATTATTATTATTATTAAATCGAATACGAACTATTTCACGATAAATATTTTTTATATAACTAAATGTTTCTTCACGATTTATATCAAATACTAATAAAAATAAATGTGCACGACGAAAACAATACATTCGTACCCATTCTTGTTGAGGATCTGTAGTATTTGTATCATCGAAACGTGGAGTATCAATTATACGTATATGAAACAAACGTTGACCATTAAATAATGATGTAAAATGATATGTAGCTAAACGAGTTGTTGAATATGATGAAGAATAATCGTTGTATAACCATTGACGAACAATAGATGTTTTCCCCACGGCTTTATCACCTATAACTGCTATTTGTATAGGTCGATCACACATTCGATTCTTTTTTTTTTTTGATTTATCTAAAAAAAAGTATCACTAATTTAGCTCATCATATAATAAGTGCTGATGCCTGTGAGGCATAAAACAGAAAAAGAAGATATTATCAATCATTTTCTTCACACGATGTAACAAGAAGGAAGAAAAAACGTTCAACTAAAAAAGGAAAGAAGCTATTTCTAGTTTTTTTTTCTCGCTCGTTTTTTTTCTTTTCATCTCGGTTTCCGGGAATTTATAAGTGTTCTCGTCAGAGTGTAAGCACTAGCATTCATTCATGCACCGCAAGAAGTATTCACAAGCAAAAAAAATAGTATTACATTGCTACAAAATCATCAACACAGAACGACGAAAACAGAATGTAGATGAGCGATGATGTCAGTCAGTTTCTCGACTTCTGTTTTTGTATTGTCATCGAGCATATGCGTATTGTTTTTATGATTTTCTTTTTTCTTTCAAGACAAATCATTTGTCTTTTGGTCTATCAACATTTCTTTAATAAAGACGACTATAATAGCTCTCGAGTTGAATGATTCGTTTTGATCTTAGTTTTATACGAATATGTCGTTTTTTTACATCGACTAAAAGTTCCGTTTCTTTATCTCTCTTGAGAGACTACAATTTATATATATATATCTGAAATTCTCAATTGTAATTACGGACTCGAATTCATTTTTTTTTTGCGACAAAAAGAAAAAATTCTATTTCCTTCATATTGACATTTTATAAATAGTAGATGATCAAATTGGCCGTAGTCACAAAAGACTAATAAATATTTCTTTGTTCTCGAATAAGACAAAGGTGAAAACGTGAATAGATAGAACAGGAACAGAAAAAAAAAGATGAAAGAAAAAACCACATATCATGATTAGATTAAAGATAAAAGCTTGATATGAAATGAATGAAAAAGAAAAATGAAATCAATAGTAGGAAATTACATTTCGTCAAGAGATGGATCAATCATCTATTACTCATGGTATATATAAAATCAATTTCAATTATTGTTTTTCCTTCTTAATATATATTATTAGATTTTAGTATTTCATTGATATTTGCAATTGGTTTTGGTGTTGCAGGTTTCATTTTAATTATATTATTAATTTTCTTTTGTTGTCGTAAAAGAAAAAGTAATAGACTTGTTTATACTATTGTAAAATAAAATTGATAGAAATTTTTTATTTCTGTTTCTATTATTAAATAGATTCCAATCATGATCGTCAATCTAACTCTAGTTCAATTGAATCTTTCGATCAATTATATTTTAGTAAAATACCATTTAATCAAATAGAAAATGTTGATCAACGTGTTATTGAACGTTGGTCATCAACTGATCAACCTTCAATGACATTCTATCGGTATGATAATATTCTCATTTATTAATTTAATTTTTTAATATATTATTGTATTGATAGTGTTTATATGCAAGATAATTCTGATAATTTCTATCAACCTGTAACTGAAAAACGTCTACAATCATCTATTGAACAATCGAAAGCAATGGAATATGTTGGTCTTGAAATGAATTTTTTTTAAATTGATTTTTATTGTAATATTCTTATGAAAAAAAAAACGATAAAAAGAAAGTTTTGTTTATTAATTAATATGAATTCTTATGTTGTAGTACGCAATGGTACAACTTGATAGCCTTCCGTTAAAAGTCTAATAACAGCAGCTAATGCAATACAACTAATAACAGCTAAAGCAGCAGCTACAATAGTTATAAAACCTTGTTGTTGAATACGTTTAAATTTGTCTCGAGTAATAACAACATAACATCCTTCTGTATTATAACGACTTAATGGATTTGTATTATTTCCATAAGTATCAACACATAAATTATTGTCATTTGAACGATATTTTTCATTACAACAACTAATTGGTAATAAAATAGATAATGCAGATGTTGATGGATTTTTTTGAAGTGATGTTGTTCGTCCTCTAGTAGTTCCACCACTCGATGATGCTGATCGAAATATAGAAGGTTGTCGACTATGATAATCATCAATTGAATCAGTAAGACCACAACATTGATGTTGTTTTTCTAATAGTGCCATTTTAGGCGTATTAATAACAGTAATAATATTGCCACTAGTAACATTATATTGTGTTTGATCTAATTCTTTAATTAAAGTATTATTAATTGATTTTGATAATTGATCACTTGAAAGTGTAATAAATGACCATATACTAAATGCAATCAAACCTACGGAACATATAATTAATAAACCGGCAGCTATAATAGCAAAATTTCTTTTCACTTTAATTAAACCAATTGCTAAAATAATAAAGGTTAATATTGAAAGCAGACCAAATACAAGTAAAATTACTGATGTAATATGAAGTGGATGTTGACCAATATCAATAAAATATCGAAGATGAGCAAGAGCTAATCCACCTTGTAAAAATAATATTGTACTAACAATGACTGAACCAAGCATAGCAACACATAATGCTATACGAAATAGAATTCGTTTAGTTGCTGTTGATGTTTCATTTGGAGCTGTTATGGTTATTGCTGGACCAGTTATCATTTTAATGTATATTATACAAATAAAATGTAATGAATGATTTTTATGAGTATGTTTTCTTTTCTTTTTTTTGTTCTTTTCTAATTCAGAAGTAATCAAATGAATGAAACTGATCGAACAAAATGATTTCTTTCTAATGAGCAACAGAGTCTCTTCATCTCAAATTACGAAATGATATATGATGATGCATTCTATAAGAAACAAATGTGAATGAAATAGAGTAACAGAAACGAAACAGTTACATCATCAAATCGAATTTTAAAATTCAGCTGATCAAAATATGTAGCATTTAAATACATTGAGCAATTGTGTATGATTGAGTTATATGAGTTTTATTTATAATGATTGTCTCTAATATGAGAAAATTATTGTCTTTTAATCATTCTTGAAAGCTTCATAATAATAATCAATACATAGAAATGAAGACAAATAGATTTGAATAGTAAGTCAAGTGTTTTATAACAACCATCATCATGATCAATACTAAAAACACTCACATGACTTAAGTGTCATTATCGAGACACATCAATACAATTACAATCAAATACATCAACATCATTGATATAAAAAGAAAAAGAAAACCAATGTTTTATGCAATCATGAATTCGTATACAATACGTTGAAAAAAAAATAGATCGATATTGTTACTTTTATCTGTTAACGAAAACTCTTCTCATACAGCTGAATCATATGTTGATGTGATGGATGACTCCTCAAGAATAAAATCATCACATTACGACGGAAATCCTTGCAATATTAAATCATTTTTGAGTGGAGATTACTTGTATTATAAAGATCTAAATAAGTTATGAATACTCTGAAAAGAACTCTTATCCTTAGTTTATTATTACGGAGATACTGTACTTTTCCAGTATTTTTTAAATGAATGTCGTGGTTTTCGCTCAAGAACACTAAAAATTTCTGATCCTATGATTTGCTTCTACCATGAAATAAGAATATCAAATCTACTGGTTTATTTGAGGCATGTAAAAGATACGCTGTTATCATAATTATGTCTTTGAATACAAAAAGCACTAAGACCTTAAACATTCGCAAAAAACTATTGTTGTTAAGGCCTGTCTCCATGCAAAGTTTTAAATCGAAATTCGAAAATCAATTTTTCTAGGGTTCCTTAGAGCGACAAGGGCATTTATCTTTAAATACAATGACCTTAGGTACGTCAGTTCCATCAAAAATTCGTTATTATTTATTCGTACGCACATATAGCTGATTTTTTTTGTTTTGCAAAATTAAATACAAAAGTTAGAATTTTCAACAGTTCTTGATTTTTCAAGTAAATATCAACAAAACATCTAGCCCGCAAGAGAAAGCCACTTTTGAAAGAGCGATGTGAATTTACTTAATAGAATGCCATGATTTTTATATTCTGGAAGAAAGAATTAATTGAATTCTCTTATATGAATCTTACATAGGTGTTAAATACTTCTTTCTTAAACAAATGTGTTTTATATGTCGATGATCAAAAGTCTGCAGTAATTTTTCGACAAAAAAAATGTTTTATTTTAAAGAAAAAAACATTTAAAATTTTTCGATACAACAAAAAAAACGTATCTGAAGCAACTATTATCAAAGAGCATAACTATAGATATGTATGAAGACAGTTCAATTTGTGATGCTTTTTACTATTGAATTCTTTTTATTCACATAATATAGATTCATATATGGATGTGTAGCATTAAACTTATTAACAATTGCTTTTAATTCGATAACACTAAAATCATTATTGCGAATATATAAATAATGAAGTGTAGTTATGCTGAATATATCTAATGGTAAACTAATTAAATGATTGTAATCAAGATTGAGAAAATAAAGATTATTCACATGTTTAATTTGAGGTGGAACTGATTGAATACGATTATTATTAAAATAAAAATATTTACTATTGTTTGTTTTATATCCTAATGTTCGAATACCAATTAAATGTGAAAGATTATTTTTAGACATATGTAAATCAGTTAATTGTGGTAAATGAAGTGGAATACGTTCAATTGGACAATTATCTGCTTGTAAAATTCGAAGATTTGACAAACCATTGAGTGATTGTATTGAATGAAGATATGGATTATTTTTTAATACAATTTGTGATAATGATCGAATATTTTTGATCGTTTTAGGTAATGAAATTAGTTTATTATTAGGTAAAAAGAGTAAAGTAAGTGAGGATAAACCATCAATACCATTTGGAAGTGCCATTAAATTAGTATTGACCAATTCTAATGATTGTAGATGTTTTAGTTTACCGATTTGTTCTGGTAAATGAGTGACTCGGGTGTTATAAATACCTAAATTAGTGAGTGTTGATGCAAGATGATCAATCTCAATTGGAAGTTGATGATCAGTATTATAAAAAC